CGTTCTTCCTTGTGGGAGGAAGTCTCCTCCGTCTTCGTGTTCCTGTGGCGGGACAGGAGCAGCCGGCATTCATCGATTAATTACTCGCCGCTCGCTCGTTAATTAGCCTTGAAGCTTCTCAGCTTGCATCTCCGTACAGAAATCTAATCGACACTCGCGATAGCCTTCATTAAACGTAGGTAATCGAAACCGTGGTAAAAAGAAAGAAAAAACGGAAAGAAAATAGGCAGAACTCGTTTGAACCGTGAAAGGGTTCAATTTTCGCGTTCCACGCGTCGTCGAAGCTGTTTTAATTGTCAGTGTTCGCGAAGAAACAAACGAACGAGCAAGGACAAAAAATGAGGAAGAAGAAGAAGAGAACAGTAGCGAAGCTTCGTCGCGTTTTTCCGCACGAGCAGCCATTAAGACGTTTTAGCGCGTTTCGTGAAACTAAGACGAAGAAAAAGAAGAGGCACAGACAGGAGGAAGAGGAGGAGAAGGAAGAGAAAGATGAGGAGGAGAACCGTGGCACCCGTTGGGTCTACTTAGAGCCGATAGAGGCGGCCTAACTACCGTAACCGTATCCAGGTCTAAATAGTTGGAGTTACGCTAAGTAGTCCTAACCAGATTAGTAAGTCGTTGCGTGCTCTATTTTTAACGGCGCGCCGCCGGCGTTCGAGGCGTTTTACGCGGAACACCGTAGACACAGAGGCCAGAGAATGGCCCACGAACGATAGAGAGAGAGGCGAACCGGATAAAAAGGCCGGTTGACCAGAAGAGAAAAGGATAAACGAGCGAGGGAACCTACTACGAGAAGACGAAGCTTTATCCTAATCCCCGTAAACGAGACGCGTCTTCTCTTCGAAACGCTGCCTCCTCTTCCTTATGGTCCTTCTTTTTCCTCGTTTAGCATCGTGTTTCGATCGAACACCGTTCGCCCGATTTCGTCCAATTTCCTCCCCCTCGAAGCTACCGGTTTGCTTTTTAATCTAGCCAGTTTATCGCGCGTGTCGGGGAGTGCCGCGCGAAATTCGAATATCCCAGGCGAACGCTCGGGGCGACTACGAATTTATTTGCGCGCTGCTCGACCGTTTTAAACATTCTCCGGTGGCAATGGCGCGGCAAAAACGGAAGAAAGCGAGAACAAGAGGAGAAGAGAGGAGAAAAGAAGAGAAGGGACTGAACGCGCGAGGAGGCGGAGGGAATTTTATTTCCGCTCACATTAATTTCAACGACGCAGAAGACGGTCGCCACAAGACGCAGCTTGAAATTACGAATATTATGACTTCAACCAGTTCTCAGAATTCTATGTTTTTCATTCTTTAATCTCGGCCCTCTCGTGTTTCACACCATATCTTATGAACACGCTCGCCCTCTTTCTAACCCGCAAGACTCTTCTCCTTTCTTCCTTCCTCTTCGTTCGCCACCACGTTTCACCTATGCGCTTTGACTGACCACGCGAACCTTCGAACGAAACTGGGGATGGGAACGAGTTCGATATACGTCCGCGTACTTTCGAATTAGAATTTCAAAGATAATGTACTCGCAAAGTTACACGCGGTTGCGAATCCCGGAACGAATACTTTATCATCGTACAGCGTTCGCCTGGAGGCAAGTTTTCGACTTACTTTCGATGTCGGGAGAACCCGGGGAGAAGCTGGAGAGAACCTAGAAGAAGCCAGCACATAACATCCTACTTATAATATATGTAGTTGGATCTCGTCTGCGGGCAAAGCAGTCTGAGCACGGTCTAGGGATCTTTTTCTCTCGGAGGATTGTTTCACTTGTCCGTCCGCGTGGATGCTGTTCAGACAGCTTTGAATACCGTTTGAACGTGGCCGGCCAATGGAGAGATGATTGATGTCAGCAGTTTAGCGATATAGTAGCTTGTACAGTGACTTTAGAAACGGTGAGATAACAGTGATCTTTCAGTCGAAGCTTTGATCCTGCGTCGTTGAAAGGTTCTGAATTCTTGTTAGGATTATAAAAGTAGGTTTCAAAGCGAGGCATCCTTGAGATTTCAAAGTGAGCGCGGATAGACGATTGTTCCATGGATGAAACAGGAATTTCGATGTTTCTCTCTCGAAAATTTCGAATCGAGCCTGAAAGAACAATCGCGCGTTATAGACGGATTCTCTCGCAACGAGCGTTCCACTCGAACAGGAAACGTGTGGCGTTTCGATAAAGCAACACCATATTTTAAGACTTAAGTCGCTGGCGAATTTGAATAATCTACCGGTATTCCGGCAGACACTTGAAAAGCCACGAGGCCCATCCAACCACAGGCCTGGCAACATTATATTCAAGTGTTTGACGAACGAACGAACGCGTTACGTCGTCTGCTTTTTTGTTTTCCTGCTTCTGGTATCGGCATCAGCGTCGAGCTATGTCGAGTGGTGGTGCTGGCCTCTCACGGACCCAACTGCTGTCTCTTCTGGTTTCGTTCGCGTTGCCAGAATTCGTGCTTCGATCGTTTCTCCTTCTTAATGATCCTTTTGTCCGAGAACGTTGACCTTTGCTCGGTTCCCGGGGGACGGGAACGCCCTGTTGTCCCTGTTTCGACTCAATTTCTGTCCCGATCGGATCTTGACTCGTCGTGAACGGTTTCTTCTACCCGGACGAGTGTCAGCGATCCTTTAGCTCGATGATTTACTGAAAAAACACGATATTCTCGAAGAACGGCGCCCGTTATGAATTGATGATTGTTCTAGTCGTTAGTTCAATTAGCGTTCCAGTCGGACGAACGAGCAAAGTAGACTGTAACGAGCTCCCTCGTCAAAATTCAAATTTCCAATGTTACTCTGCTCTCGTTAACCGAGTCAAAGGTGTACGTTCGAAAGAGCATCCTAGCCAGAGAAGAACATTTCTCTGTCTCTAAAAGGCGAGGTGTTTCAAGTTCTTCGTATCATAGTAGAAGCAGCGTAGAAGAAAGGGAGCAGGTCTACGGAAAATGTCTCAATTTCCATGCGCTATCTCGAGGCAGCCCCAGTTTGCTCTTCCTTTCACGGTGACCAACCTGAATTCATCATCGTCGAGGCGTAAACGCACGGATTGTTTGCGCTCTTTTTTCTAATCAGCCTGGTTTTTTACCCCTATCCAGATTGACTCATTAAGAGCGTCAAGGCTTTTTGCGTTTCGAATAATAGCTCAAAGAATCCGAAGATTTCCCGCCACAGGGTGTTTCCATGCACGGTTCCGTCTTTATTCTCGGTAAGTTCAGGACCGGCACCCTAAGAATCTAGGCCAGCAAGCCGGGAATTTCTCTTTCTCTCGAATCCGCGCGGTAAAACACGCTGCAATCGAGAAAAAAGAACGGACCTTGCACCGGTGACAATGATAGATTTCGAGGGGCGAATTTTAACGAGAGATTCCTCCGACTTTGGGACACTTGTATCCTTCCAAACATTTATTCGACTAACAAACGAGGTGCAATTGTTGTCTCCGCAATGGAGGATTAAACGGTCGAAGGTTCCTGTATTAAAAAAAATTTTGAATATCGTCCCATGCGAAGGATAATATTCGTTAAATTGTCTCGAAACGAGTAGAGGAGAAACGAAGTACCTCCCTTGCGATCGGAGGGATGAAAAGAGCAAACAGTTTCGAAAAGGTAACTCCGTTTCGCCAATAGGAAAAGATTCCCTTCCTTTCGTAGCTGAACAAAGACATTCTGGTTCCATTGTTCAGGGTCGTATCACGCTGCACTCCGATTCGACCGGCCGGTGTACGTACGGTACGTACGTACATGTGCAAACAGGGTGATAATGTATTCAAGGTCCGCCCCGTAGCGATGGTGGGGGTGAAACGGGGCGGCCCGCTCGGTATACGTACTGTAACAGATGTTAATTATCCCTTCTGTGTATACGCGGCAAAAAAAGAGCCCTGTCTCGCTCGGACATATCGTCCACTCGAGTACATCCCCGACACGAGGAGGTCTCCCGTGTCCTCGCGTCGAAACGATCACGTGGCCCGCCTAGATCGCCCGCTCCAATCGCGTTACGCTTCCACCAAGATAGACACGCTAGGGAAATTTGCTAATACCTTTAATCGAACCCTGTCCAGTCGTCCGAGCAGCCGTCCTAATCGATAATTTTCAATTTCGCGAGGGATCTAGAGAACACGCGAACGTGGTGAGTTTTAGAAGCGTTACGGTATAGTTATGTCAGAGCAGAACCGGAGGATGGTATTTGGAGGCAGCATCGGGGGAAAATGATTTCTTGTCGCGCAGCTGAACGACAGCGACGCCATATTCGTCCCGGGACCCTTAATGGGCCAGTTTTACTGCGGAAATAAATAACCGATAATGAACCGAGCAAAAACGGAACTAACGATTTTGTGGCCGAATTAGGCAGCGAGTTTCGGATGCCTTCGAAGGAGTCGTCTGGGTCGATTGACTCGAGTGGCTTCGTGAAAGCAAACTCGGACAAATGATCGAACACGGGCTAACAAAGAAAAGAATTTGCCGTCTTCGAAGCGAATTCGGTTCTTGCACCTGGTAGACGAGATCATTCGTACATGTTCGCATCTTTCTATCGTCGTTGCTATTTCTTAGTCGTTTCGAAAATTCTCCCCCTGCCGTCCCGTCGAAGGATTCGAATGCTGAATTTGCTCGATTCGCGAACAATTACTTGGTCGATGTTAGTAGCCCCTATAGCCGTTGAAGGAAGCGTCGAGACGCGACGAAACGACCCGTTTTGCTAACCGAGAAACAAATTGTCCCTCGTCGCGCGTTATCGCGGACCGTCCGTTTGGCTGACCGAGCAGCGCTCGTATATCAGCGTAGCTTTTGTTACAACGACGTGCCTTTGTCTTCGCCCTGTTTTCGCGTCTCATTCCAAGCGCTGGCTAACGTAACAGGCTCATCGTTGGGGGTTTCCTTGAACCTGCTGCAACCTGCCTTTGCATCTACATCGAAGTAGATAAACGTCGCGAATCGAAGCTAATCGTTCGTCGCGCTCCCCGAAAACCATCTACACGGGTATATTCGGACATATCGTCTAATACGGATAATTTTTCTGTTTCAGAATGCATTGAGGAGCCGGCCGGTTCAGACGATTCGAGATGTCCGCCGTAACGAGTCCGTATAGCCCCAGTAAGACACCTCCTTTTCTAAAGTATCTTCGATGCAATCCCCGTTACCATTCTTTAGCGAGAAAACGTAGGCAGCTCGTGTTTGCGTCAGCCATCGTCGTTCGTTCCGTTCTATCGAATCATAATAGCCGCGCGCGCGTACCTCTTCTAACGATTCCAAGAACGTTCAATTAACGTGCGTCCCGGCTGAATTCTAATTAATGTTAAAAATTGATTTGCGAGAAGCGAGAGGCCCTCGCGACTCGTCGGCTACACGCGTTCAGTTGGAATCGGTCGATTCGAGGCAATAGCAGTAGCGTTCGCGAGCCACGGTCCATGGAATTCTCGGCGATCGAGCGGGACACGTGGGCTAGGACCAGCTGGGGCTAGACTCTCGATCGTTCACGCTCGAAAAACGCTCGAGCTTCGCGCAAGAATGACCCAGTAAGCCTTCGACGATCGTAAAAGTTCGGTAACAGAAAAAAAGAAACCACTAAAAACCAGACCGTCGAACGGAGCTCGTCGATCTGATGCCGGTTTATTTCCATCAGCGGAGATGCTTTCCAACTCGGTATACAACTACGCGACTCCCCGACGAGGGACCGCCGATCAGGACTGCGACTCCCAGTACGAGGGCCAGGCCCAGCTGCAGATCTCGAGCATGCAAAAGCCGCGAAACAAACGCAAGAACTTTAAACCGATCAGCAGCCGAATGGTCGAGGTGTCCGACGAGTCTGAGAAAGAGGACGAAGAGCTGGGTATCGAGGAGACGTCCAGCGAGATACTCGAATACGAGAGGAAGACCATGTTGTTGCCAGCCGAGGAGAGGTCTAAACAACGACTGAACAACAACGAGGTCAGTCCCATGGACTTGTCCGTGACCACCACTAGACCACCGTCTTCGGAAGCCGACGACGACAGCGGTGACTCCCTCAGGCACAAGTTCATTCTGGAACAACTCAGGTCCGAGAAGCTCTATTCACCCGGTACCGAGGTACGTGCATATTTTTTCCTCCTTTATCTTCCGGCGTTGTTAGACGCGTCGACTCAGTCGGATGATTCGCGTGTCCAGGCTAGGAGTCCAAACTCTGACTCCTCGGAGAAGACCGGTAGCGGTGTCCTGGAGACGGAGTCGGGTCGTTTGGACGACTCCGCGTTCGAAGATGACCGGGCACAGGACATGGACGGCGAGACCGAGTGCGAGGAAAGGAAACCTTTCGAGGGGATGAGGGAGTACGCTGAATCGACGATGCAGGAGCTGTTGGCGATCTACGGACTGGCGGGAGGAGAATTGGCCAAGTCGGTGAGCAGACAGCTACCGCCGACCTTCCTGAACCCGGCGACCGGTCATCTTCACGGTGAGTCTCGAAGCATCGATGATGACTTTACTCGGAACACGCGAATCGAATTTCGAACGCGAACATCGTGGCCTTAGTTAACGCGCTCTTACGAATTCGTTACCGATTCGATCTAGCGCACAATTTCTCGAATCGCATCGTTTTCGAACTGCGTATTTTTCGCTCGAACCAATTGAAATTTATCGCCAACCGAGGTCTAGCTGCGGAGTAATTAGAGACAACCGGGCTAACAGTTGTTAATAACTGGTCGAGGCAAAGAATACTCGGAAGTTCGTCCTCTGGCCGAGCTAAAAGCTATTAACGCGTGGGCGGTACTCGGTGGTAGAAAAGAGAAGCAAAGAACCGCTCGTGGCCCGTATGGAACGGATCCTCGATTTTCAAGGATCCCCAGCGAATACCGTGGCCGTGTCGGGTTCCTCGAATCGTTATTATTCGCGGCAGGACTCGCGCGCGACTCTTCGCTGAAGAGAAATTAGAAGCGGCTCGAGCATTCGACGAAATCGTTAGTCGAGCCAACCACGAGACGCGGGACGATTGGTTGGCATCGAATTCGGGGTTGGGCTACGAACAATTGACAATCGTAACTGGTTCGCGTTCGTACTCACGCTTGGCGTAAAATCAATTTTCGTTAGAGCCACGCTGCTGACCTCAGACTTTAATGACGCTTTATCGATAACTGGAAAACGAACGATCCAAAGTTGACGAGAAATTAACCGAATCGTCTAAGTTGAACGATTCGTTGAAAGATTCATTGTTTCCGTTATCGTAACGACCGAGCGTTTATCGGTTCCGTATTCGATCGCTCGTTAGAACTAGTCGATCGATTCTTGTTAAAACAGTACGATCCTCTGCACCTCGCGTTTAGCTCGATTCGATGCGGCGTAATTAAATCGTTAAAAACAATGACATTAACATAGAAATAGAGCAGTACGTGGTGATTCATGAAACGTTAATATTATTCCAAGCCTCGAAGTTCAGAAGGTCCGAGGAGTTTCCACGTCTGCGACGGTTTCGTTAGAACTCGCGACGTATTGAACGAGTCACGAACGCGGCGAGTACGTAATTTTCAGATTAGACTGTACGTGTGCACCAGAACAGAATGTGGCACTTACATATTGCCAGTGCATCGCATATGCGCGCACGTGAATATGCGATGGCTCTGGCAAGATGGCCGACTTATAACTCATAAAGTCGGTCGGTCTGCGCGAACCGTTGACTGCCTCGCGATCGATGGATGCTTTTGAGATCAGCCAGCGTCATCGTTTCCCGTTTGCCGCCACCGCCACCACCGCCGCCGCAACGTCTCGCGTGGGTTGACAGTCTCACGAATTCCCTGTCTATTGTATCGTGGACGCCTCTACTAACTAACGAGTCAATTTCACTATTCTTCCACGCCGTTCGAGATACTTACCGTCCAACTTTTTCAATTGCCTTCCTGCCAGCCAAAGATTGATTCATAGCCCAAAGTCGTTTGCCGGATTATCGTTCTTTCGGCTTTTCTTCTTTTAGGCCGGTCAAATTAGCTTTTCGTTTTTCGACGCGCGGATCAATCATCGCGTACCAAAATTATGGAGATTTATTTGCATTTTTAACGACAAGACCGATAGCGAACTTTCGTGTTCCAAATTACGCAGACTAATTTGCATTTTTGGCGATGGAAAATTTGACTATTTGTAGGGGTTACGGTATTCGATGTTAAATTTTTATCTTCGGCTTGATCGACAACGCGTGTGTCACGAGAAGTTATTGATACATGTTTTTAGCAGTTTGTAACGCGTATAAGGCTGAATGATTGCTTGGAAATGTATTGTTAATGATCGATTGTGCAGAAAAAGCGTCGGAAGAGGTGTCGATCACCGGATTTGAACTCGCGACGTCGAATTCCCTGTCTGTGACTCATCGTTTCGAGCTCCCTCTCTCGCTCAATATTCATACATTATGTAAGTTAACCTTACGTCGATGTAAAAGGACCCTAACGGGCTTTCGTGGCACAGCTCCATTGTTACTCGATTGAGTCTTTCGTCGTTGTACTACACTTTGTCAAATGGCCTTTGTCGCCGGTCTGCTCGAAGAATAATCTCTTTCGGATTCGATTAAACTCATGCTCGTTGCTCGCCATCCTGCCAATTACCAGAAAACTGACCGCGTGAAATCGAATGCGACATGCCTCGTAACGCCGCAACCTTCTTTCTCCGTTTCGTTTTCGTCAAGAATTAGGAATCTTGCTGACGCTCGACTCGGTGAACAATAATTTAACGTACGAATTATTCCTCTCGTCGCCTTGTATCAACCACGCGTTGTACGACAGCGTGTCCGTATAAATCTACGTAAAATTTCAACTCGAAGACAAAGATGTTCGGCGAATGGAGGTTTGTAAGCTGAAATCACGTTTATTAGACGGTGGAACAGTTTCTGGCAGAGTCGAGGTGGCGACATCAATCCTCGTTCTATCCGAGCAGAGCGAAAACGCGTGGAACATCGAAAAAGAAGCAAACAAGACGTTCCGCGTTTTCATCGACTTCCACGTTGTTTCGCCTCCAACGTCTTCCACCGGTCTCGCCACCTACACATCGCCACCTGGAACAAAAGACCGCTTCTATTCGTCGCGTCGTATCGTCAGGATTGATACGCCAGGAAGGAGAGAAAAAAATCACGCATAATTTATCACGTAAAAGCGAGTCGAACAGAAACCGCGTGTCGTCGATGAATCGGTCGACGCGGTGGGGGCTGGAGGGAAAAAAAGGAACACCGTCTGGTTTCTCGAGTTTGTACGGACGTCTGTCTTTTCTATGAACCTTGACGTTCGTCGAATGAACGAATATATACTCGCGTATCCGATTCTTCCGCGAGGAATACATTAACGACACCGGTTAACCCAGAAAAGCCATGGTCGTTTACGTAATAGTCGATCGGATCCTCTTTTCGACGGAGATACTGCGCTGCTTTATCTTAATCCTTTGCACTCTTATGTTCAGAGTGACATTTGCTTATCGAGCTATTTCGTAGATGAAGGATTAATTAGAAATTCGACAATTTCTATCGGACAATCGCGTTGGGGGATCGAGGCGTAGATGAGCGATTCTCCGAATATGCAAATCATTCGACGAGCAAGAAGAAGAAATTCCTAGATAATCGATAAAGTTTGTTAATCTGCGCGATGCAATCTCTCGGGACGAAGGATTCAGCGGGGGTGCGATCGAAGCGAGAGCGGGGAGCAGCAACGGTTGAATCGAGGTAAGGGAATAAAGAGAAAGGTGGGTTAATCCGGTGCGAAGAAAAGCAGAAAAGCCGCGTGTGCTGTTGGTGGTGCAGCGGAGGGCACACAGTGGGGTGGAGGACAGCGATGCCTCCGTGAACCCATTAATCATTCGAGCCGGATAAAAGGCAGCAAGGATGAAAAGAGAAGACGGACAGTCGGACGGACGACGAGCGAGAGGCAACGCGGACGATGGAAGAAGAGGAAGAAAGAGGTTCTTCCTTTCTGTCGTTGCTCTCTTCTGCCCTCCTCCACCGAACCGGGAGGATCATTTTTTATTTTCTTCTTTTCGAAATTCGTCGGACGCGCTTCTATTGTCGGAGAACCGGCCACGCATACATCGGCCAGAGAGAGGACTCATCTCGGACCGACGGTCTTTTCGAAGGGGAGGAGATTCATTAACTGATAACGCGATTCTTTCTTCGGACGTTCTCTTCTTGAAAATGATATCCCGCCACGGGAACAACCAAGAAGATCGTTGGACACCTGTTGGGAGGACGATAGCGCTTCGGAACTTGGAACCGTATCTCTGTCGTGGCCATTGTTTTGGAAATAAAGCCTTCTTCGACGGAGCTACGCAATTAATCGTGTAGAAGGTTCAAGGACATCGGCGTAACCGAGTCATAGGTGGCCATTCGTCGAAACTCCCGTAAAATCTTCTTCCACGACTGTTTCGAGTCCGTTCGGATTTAATTCGAGGCCTTATTGACCCCCGATGAAAGTTTACGGGTCTAACGGAGGTATTAAACGAGACAGAGAGAGGGCTAGGTACTGTAAACCTGGATCGTTCTGGTTACGAGTCTTTTATGTCTCCGCGTGTGTGGACCACTCGAGCACGTAGGTAGTAGGTACGAGAAGTAGCGCTACGTAGGTTTTGCGAGATCGAAATCGGAGCTCCTTGGCTGGGAGACAAAAGGGGTCTCCGGTACGCGGATGACAGGAGGTGTCGGGAACCTTTGGGATCGGCGACCTGTTGAATCCCCGGCTCTCATAACCTTCAACGAATTCAGCGTTTATTGTGAAAGAAGAAAAACGAACAGGAGAAGAGGACCGTACATGCGCGTGGTGCGTTTCTCGAGAGGCCGAAATACGTTAACCCTTATCTTACGTTTCACAAAGAAGAATTCCCGAATAATCGCGAGCAACCACCACGTGCTCTATTATATTCTCCTCTCCCTCCCGGTTACGCTTTAATTCATCTGGATGCCAAACGTCGGCTAATTGCTACGCTAGTTAACCGATGAACGCTTTGATGATACTGCTGACACACGGTTCTTGCTTCTTTCTGTTGCGTGCCGATCCTTACGAACGGTTTTCTTCGTGAATGCTTTAGTCAAATACGATCATCGTGTATTTCTCGATTTCCTTTCGAGAGCTTTACTAATTGTCCAATTAATAAAATTAAGAATTTTCACACCTTGGCCAACCATACTACGAAGCGTGGATTCGTGATAGAAATTAACGCGGCGATAAAATTAATATTAAACGGCATTTCTCGCCGATCGAACGAAGAGGAAATCAAGGAATTCACGAGCCACCGACTGGATTCGCGGAACATTTTATGAAAGCTTTTATGAAAGCCTTTACGATCCATGTTTCGAACTACAGTCTGCTTCTGTTGAACACATGACGCTCTCGGCTCGTTTTCTTCTTCTTCTATGCGTACACATTTGCATTCGAAGATTTTCTTCCACTACGATTTCCACGATTTCGTCGGACGAAGATGGAAGAATTATTCGTCTGG